ATACCAATTATAATTATTATTTTAAAACATCAGTTTCAGTGAAAAATATTAGAAAGTGATGAATAAAATAAATAATAAAAATAATCGTCAATTATATATATATATATATATATATATATGAATATATGTGTTTATGTGTGTATAAGTGTGCTATATTCATGGGATAAAGTGCTCAATATCAGAAATAGAGCGTATGTAAATATAAATATAAAAGTTAACAGGCCTGACGATTGCGTCTCGCATGAAACAGCCTGTCGCCTCTGAGTGTTGACTTCAATGTTCACTTTTTATATATATATATATATATATATATATATATATATATTGCAGGTACAAAATTTTATTATGGCAAGGAATAAGCGGAATGTAAAGGACATAATTATGAAAACTAAGAACTAAAACAAACAACCGGTTTCGTTCCAGTACTCCTCAAGTTTGATACACTGGGAATATTCAATCATAAACTTAAAAACAAAAAAAACATTCAATGAGGGGGGAAAAGGGGAAAAAATATGACAGAAAGAACTAGAGCCCAATCACATTCAAGCCCAACAAGCAATCTCTGTTTACAGAGAAACGTCCTGCGGGTCTTGATGTAAATGGACTCCAGAACTTTCAAATGATATGCAGAGTGTGACTTCGCCAGAATGGAAAAACAGTCAACACTCAAACCAGCAACACATTCCCTGCTAGTTATAGCGTGTTCCGCTATAGATGACCCGGATGTATTCACTAGTTGGCTTTTGTTAGCGGCCGGATTTAAAATTCTTGGGGGTAAATGTTGTTCAATTCTAAAATCCAGACGCTGAGACGTTCTGCTTATGTAGTCACATCCGCAACCACATTTAAATTTATATATAACTGAATTAATATGAAAGGGAGGCAGAAAATCCTTGCGCCCGGAAGAAAGAATTGGTCGAGTAAAAAATATTACTCGCACATTAGCAGCATAAAAACACTTACTAACGGAATGTGAAATTCGCCTTGCTAGTTTTTCACCTTCTCTGCCAATGTAAGGAAGTCGTAAATAAATTGGACATTTCCTAACAACATACGGTCTATCCTTACTAAATTTATCAATGACATCATGCATAATGGAATCGAAAATGTCCAACGGATACCCATTTTTAGAAAGAGTCATTTTTATAAAGTACAATTCACCGTATAGGAAAGAATTTGAGCAAATTTTAAGAGCTCGAAAAGTCAACGTTCTAATTAAATTAATTTTTCGTTGACGTGGACAAAAAGAGTCCTAACGGACATATAAACCTGAAAAGGTAGCCTTCCTAAATACTGAAGTCCAATAGCCATCATCACCTCTACGGACCAAAACATCCAAAAAGGGAAGACAATAATTAGACTCCTTTTCTACGGTAAATTCTAAGGACGAATGAACAGAATTTAATACAGAGAAAAAAGGTGTTGGTTTCACCCTCATTATCAAAGAGGCAGAAAATATCATCACCATACCGATGATACATCAGAGGTCGATTAATTTATGAAAACAGTAAAACCTCATGAAAACCAACAAAAATATTAGCAAGCGTAGGACCCAAAGGCGATTTCATTTGAAAGTTCTGGAGTTCATTTACATCAAGTCCCGCAGGCCGTTTCTCTGGAAACAGAGAGATTGCTTGTTGGGCGTGAATGTGATTGGGCTCTAGTTCTTTCTATCATATATAAAAAAAATTTTTTTCCCCCTTTTCCCCACTCATTGAATGGTTTTTTTTTTTAAGTTTATGATTAAATAATCCCAGTGTATCAAACTTGAGGAGTACTGGGACGAAACCGGTTGTTTGTTTTAGTTCTTAGTTTTCATAATTATGTCCTTTACATTCCGCTTATTCCTTGCCATAATAAAATTTTGTACCTGCAAGAATCTTTTTCAAATATATATATATATATATATATATATATATATATATATATATATATATATATATATATATCTGTGTATGTGTGTGTGTGTGTGTGTGTGTGTGTGTATGTGTAATAAAGATGAAATATTATTTGGTAATCTGTATAGATAATTCCAAAGAGGATATAAATCCAATGAGAGCTTATACAAGAATAGAGCAAATGATAATTATGAAAGTTGAGACTTTAGAAACCCATGGTAATATTTTATTTCGCAAAACCGATACTTCGGTTTCGTCTCATCAGACCAAAATCAGTTTATTTTGTCTTCAACGAAACAGATATCATCCCTAAAACGTCTTTCCTCTCAATCAATGTAACAATAAAGAAGTTACAATAACGCAGAACAACTCAGCGACTGAATAGTATTATTTTATATCTGTGAACATTGATGTTATTTTAAGAGTTAAAAAAAAACATAGCAAGATTGGAGATGCTAAAACGGCAACCCATTTAATTTCTGTGGAAGATAAGGAAAATATTATTTTAAATAAAATTCTCATTTTCAATATATATATGTACATCAAAAAGTTTTCTTACTTTGAAAGCTAATATTTCAGGATCCATTTGAAAAAACGCTCCAGATTTTTAATGAATACATTTGGGAGATTTCTTTGTTCTTAATTTGAAATAGTGTCTGACATGAAAAATGGCATATCTTCAATATTCGAAAATTCCGACATTATTAATAAGAAATCTGATAATAAATGTGGGAGTAAAACGTATAAATAATATTAACAGTAAAAGGTTTATTTTAGTTTATAGTTATGAAGAACATGAAGCTTGTTTTTAAAGTTTATTGTTCTTCTTTAACATATATAGAATATATATTCTCTCTCTCACGAAGTCTCTCTCCCCCCCCTCTCTCTCTCTCTCTCTCTCTCTATATATATATATATATATATATATACTAGCAGTAGAGCCCGGTGTTTCCCGGGGATGTAACAGTAAGAGATAGATCAAGTATCCACCATCATAAAGACTGAAAAATAAAATTCACAAAGATTATTGTTTAAGGTTGACGGACATGCATGTCTTAATTAGATTTTTTTTTTTTACGAATTGGTCAAACTCAAACAAAAACATTGTTTTCAATCGTTATGAGTCTACCGATTGAATAGAATTTTATTATAAACAATTGTCTTGTAAATGGAATTTTAAAAGCATTCTGAATGTAAAAATAAAGAAAAAAGTGTGCAAGACAATAAGAAACACTACCTGCCAAAAAAAGTAAAGTTTTGTTGATATCGGTTGAAAAATGTAGGAAATCCGATCCCATATATAAACGAACACACACACACATACAACCAACCTGGGTTTTACAATAAGTATAACTCGATATGAGTTGTCTCCCTTTCTAATGCCTCTTAATCGTGTTTTCAAATTGATTTGGTGCAAAAACAATTGTGTTTTTCCAATTTTGGGTGCTGTCAGAACTACCGCAAGGTAATTTTACGTAGTCCTATGAAGTTTTGTTGAAATCGGTTGAAAAATGTAGGAAATCTGATCCAATATATAAACGAACAGACACACACACACAACCTGGATTTTTTCATAATAAGTATATATATATATATATATATATATATATATATATATATATATAGGGAGAGAATATATATATATATATATATATATATATATATATATAGGGAGTGAACATTGATGTCTAGCATGAAACAGCCTGTCGCCTCTAAGTGTTTTATATTTATATACATTCTATCTCTGATATTGAGCACCTCATCTCACAGATATAGAATACCTTAAAACTTTATTTTATACACACTCACACACACACACACACACACACACACACACACACATATATATATATATAATTATAAAAGCGGAAACTTTAGAAGTGCATGGTAATATTTTATTTCGCAAAACAGATACTTCAGCTTCCTCTCATCAGACCAAACAATTTCAACAATAAATGGATTTTGCATATTATATATATATATATATATATATGAATGAAGAAATATAGTTTTAAGGCGTTCTATATCTATGGGATGTGGTGCTCAATATCAGAGATAGAACGTATGTAAATATAAAAGTGAACACTGAAGTCAATACTCAGAGGCGATAGGCTGTTTCATGCTAGACGCAATCGTCAGGTCGCCTGTCGCTTTTGAGTGTTGATATCAATGTTCACTTATATATATATATATATATATATATATATATATATATATATATATAATTACGAAAGTGGTGACTTTAGAAAACCATGGTAATATATTTCGCACAACTGTTTAGTTTCGACTCATCAGACTTAACGCTTTCAACAATAAATGAAACAAAAAAAATTCCAGGCAAGGCAATAAACGAAATATTTAAACAAAAAATAGGCTTTAAAATACAGATTCAATATGTGGGAAGGGAACTGATATAGATAGGGAGAGTTGAATTAATGCCTTTCCAACAGCACTAGTGCGAAATGATTGCAAACGTTATCGACAAGAGCACAATTCGGTTCACCGAATCCAGTTTTCACTTACATTGCTACTCTGCACATGCGCAATGTACACATATTTAAATAATATTCTGCTTTAGATATTTGCTAAGTTTAGCTTTGCCTAGTATACACAAATTGAGTACCTACTGAAGATCGAACTACATAATTGTCTGTATGACGAGCTCATTAATGTGCTACGGCAATCCGTTTGAATATTGACTAAGCTTAAGCAGAAGGGGAATGCGGTGGATACAGCTGAAGAATATGGCATTAAAATTTTGCTTAGAAGACCACAATGGTTGGTCAGTCCGGGGAGTTCGAACCCTCTATACGATCGATAAACTTGCTCATAAACAATATGCCTAAGAAAGCTGAGTGTTTCCCAGCAGTGCCAAGGGGTCTGTGACCGAACCCAAGTAAATATAGGGCAGGAATCTCTTTTCCACTCTGTAGACGGGCGCAACACAATTTCTTAGCTTCATTCAATCACCACCATTTTGTCATGTGACGAAACAAGATAAATTTGATAAATATTCAATCTTTGTTTCTCTCTCACACATTCATATATATATATATATATATATATATATATATATATATAGAACTTAGCAATTCTGACTAGAATTTATCTAATATCCGTGTCACTTCCCCCTCTCTGCATCGGATTAATAATCTATCTATCTATCTATCTATCTATCTATCTATCTATCTATCTATGCTATATTTTGTTGATGGTGACAATTTTGTATTCTTAATATAATTCTATACCTTCGCCTATTCTTTTTTAGATCTGTTCACATAAAAATATGTGCACATTTAATATTAAAAAACAGTGAAATATAAACTATTATATTCGCGCGTGCAATCACATAAATAACACACACACACACACACAGATGGTGAATGCTGCTATAATTCTTGCCTTCAGTTCATCTTTGGTCATACGAGAACAATCAAGGGGTTTGCAGTCTAGGGAGTTAGGTTGCCAGATGTCAGGGGTTATGTGGTCGCAGAAACTGTCTGACAGCCGTGGTTGGGTTCTCCTCCCTGTGTGGCATGGTGCAGTCCTGTTGCCAGACATAGGGTCTTCTAGCTTGATCCAGGGCAGCCCAATTTCCTCAAGGCACTTGATGTAGGCCTCCAAGTCTGAGGCCCTCACTAACAATTCGGGAGTTGTTTTTTCTTATCATCCAACTCTTCAAATACATTGAATTATTCGTATTGGAGCTTCCAAGCAGTACAGCAAACCGTTTCCAAAATTCTTGCAGAGAGAATTGTGCCATCGTACTCTTTTTCTCACAGAAGGTGTCCAACTCAATCAACTATACTAGGCAGTCGATAAAATAAAAAGCAACACGCATGTGCGAAATTAAAAATATACAATGGAGACGATTTAGCCATTTAGATAATATTTTGGTTATTTAGACAATGTGGTTAGATTAGTTCATTATTAATAAGCAGAGGTGCTGGGGTTTATTATTTGGAGGATTAGTTATTAAATATGTTTAAGATGTTCGGTCGGTATTAAATGCTATTTTATTTATATTGGGCTTTTGGTTTTTAATTAGAATGGCTTCAAGAATTTGTAATCATTTTTTGCATTTATTTTTATAGAGAATTTTGGTGTTGTGAATTAAGATTCTTCTTATTTCGGATGTCTTGAATATGTTTCTAGTGGGGCAGTGTATTGTTACAAGATGATTTTATTTACGGAGCTAGTGTCATTAAAGTGGCATGTGTGCCAACGTGAGAGAGTTTATTAAACGGAAAACTTCCGAAGTCTTTAACAAAACATGCCTTAATGCCTTAATAACGACATGCTGCCACTACATCCATATATGATATATATATATATATATATATATATATATATATATATATATATATATATATATATATATATATATATATATATATATATCAAATATGTGTCAATTTATATTACAATGAATCATTCATACAAAAAAGTAGATTAGTAAAAAAAAAGATATACATTTCCGGAATAACAACTCAGACATTGCTCTATTATTGAATAATTTAGTTCATGCCACATTGACTGATAAACTCCTGCAAAAAAAAAAAAAAAAAAATCCCAAATAGCCATATTAGTAAAAAAAAACGAACTCTCTTAAATTAAAAAAAAAAAAAGTCAACCTTAGCGTTGCAACTGCACGCTCCAAAAGTTTGATACAAACAATAACAATAACACATTTAAAAAAACATATTTCGATTCGCCTTTAATTTTTTCGTTTCGGATGCTATCTGAATTTTACCAAAAACAAAATAATTTCCATGCCTGGGGATGACTGAATGTACAGTTGAAAGTGCCTGCGAAAGACCTTTTGTTTGCTAAAGGATTCCGCCATTTTATATCATTAACTTTTATAATCAACTTTTTATATGAATGATTCATTTAATATTTATGCTCTGTAAATTTACATTGAGCACTGTTTTTTAAAAATAAAAAAATATCAAGAACACCGGATTATATATCTTACTGTTCTTTTTATTTTTATATATGTATATATATATTATAAAATATAGTTTTAAATTGTTATATTTATGAGTTAAAGTGCCCACTATTAGGGATAGTGCATGTAAATATAAAAGTGGACATTGAAGTCAACACACACACACACACACACACACACATATATATATATATATATATATATATATATATATATATATGTGTGTGTGTGTGTGTGTGTGTGTGTGTGTGTGTGTGTATAATTGGTTGTATTAGGATCAAACTTTTATTTATACAAGTTTGTTTATATATTTGAGATGAGGTATTATTTACACTATTTTCATTATTCGACTATTGTCCTCATCTTTGTTGCCATATTTATCACAACGTTTTGGCCGTTGTACGCTCCGGCCTTCTTCAAAAAGGCCGAAACGTTATGATAAATATAGCAACAAAGATGAAGACAATAGTCCGAATAATGTAAATATTATACAGGTTTGTTTTTAGACCAATCAAAGATCCTTTTTTAATTTTTAGTATTTAATTTTTCTATGCTTTAAATAATTTTCAGAATTATTTAGAGAATTTAAACATAAATATTCTATTTTCGCTGCGTTTTTGACTTTCAAAAAGTACATAATTTCGTATCTGTCTATATTTCTGAGATAAGGTATTATGTACACTATTTACATTATTCGGACTATTGTCCTTATCTTTGTCGCCAGGTTTATCACAACGTTTCGGCCGTTGTACGCTCCGGCCTTTTTCAGGGGGAATGTCGAACTACCCTGGGGTAGACTTTTCTAGTTCCACGTCTAATGGATGCCAGTTATCTCCAGTTACTTTCCCTCTCAAAGTTCTCCACTGCCTTAACCGGGTATTGAACTCACACTCTTTGGGTCTTGTCACTGGATCTAACTAACGCCTTTATCCACTGTGCTATGTGGACATCAGTGTATGAATTTTTGGGTATTATAAACCTAATGTCTTCAGCAACCATTTTTACCAGTGCTCATATTGCAATTTTTTTGCTGTTATCATTGTATATATATATATATATATTTTTTTTTTTTTACCAGAGATCATATTGCAATTTTTGTTGTTATTATCGCTTTTCTCGACTTATTATTGGTTCCCATATTGTATTCTTTTCTATGCTTGGTCGGCTCAGGAGATTTTTGTGGCCTAGCATATGTGCTGATTCCTTAAGTTTACGAATTTTCCAATGATGCTTTTTCATCTCAACTGGATCCCACAGAGTGCCGAGATCTCCCTTTTCTCTCCATATATGGTCAGCCACGCCTGATTTTTCCACTTCTCCTCGTGTTACAGCTTTCTGGTATTCTTGAAGCTTTACATGGCGACAAAGATGAGGACAATAGGCCGAATAATGTAAATAGTGAACATTATTTCGGTTTTATTTAGTTTATATCTAAGTGTATGCATTGTCTTTCCTTTGGTAATTTTCAAGAATCACCTCGTCATGCGTCAGTTTGTTGTGTTTTCTTTTATTTTCTTATTTAAAATGTGATACTTAAACATTTATATTGACGTCAAGGTACGATGGCGCCACCTATAGTTACTTTTTTTATATATTGTTACGTTATTGTAAATGTGTACGTGTATACGAGTAGGTGTCGATTGTCGGCCCGATTCACTTCCATAATTTGACCAAATATCAGAAATTATTTTTATAATCATCACTTGGTTAGTCTGATAACTTTCCAGCAACCCTGCAGTGGTTCAGTAGCACCAAGGACTCTTTGAAGACCGCCATTGTGAACCTGATGATTATCAAGGACGTGGACTATCTGATCCAGGCATATCTTCTATTCTGACGTCGCTTCAAGACCGTATGCAAGACAAATGCGAGACAAAGTTATTGAATAATTCTTTTTTTTTTCTATTTTTCTTAGGTGAATATTATGTATATTTTTAAAATACTGATTCTCCTATAGAATATCCTTTTTTTTATAATTCGATCTCAATTTCTTGACGCCGTCTTTCTCTTTCTTTCTTTTTTCTTTCTTTCTTTCTTTCTTTCTTTCTTTCTTTCTGTCCTTCTCTGTGTCTCCATTGTCAACACCGTGTGGCGACAGTCCTTTTTATGCATGAACGCAACCGTTCTGCATATCAAGTAAAATACATAACTATTTTCTTCGACACTGACACCAATGAACAACACATTTATTATTTTGCTCTATCATCTTTTGAAATTTTTCGGAAATTTTCCTAATTCCACGTCTTTCAACTTTATCTTTCTTGGCAAGGAATATCTTATCTGCAGATATTCTAAAAATTGAATTACTATCATTAAGACAAATCAGTAACGCCCGGATTAAATGATATTCGGAAGTGAATTATCTCGTGAATAGAAACTTTCAGTCGAACGATAAAACTTTCACTCCATCCACCAAAGTAACATGTAATCTAGAATTATCCTCACAGCACATTTTGCTATTTTTCACCAATTTTTTGCATTCAGTTGGTTTAACTGGGAACAGTGTTTGTCCAAGTGAATCGTTTGCATATCCAGAAGAATCTCAGTATATAATTCCTTTCAAAACCCCGATATACATAGCATTACAATCATTGGATGAAATCTGACTTTCGTATTGTTAGAGGTGATTCATTTTATTTCATTCATTTTACTTTTCCTATGATGTTTTGCAGTCTACATTGTTGTTTTCATCATCCGTTATAAGATGTTTATACACGGGACATTTTCATTACTTTTAAGTAGAGAATCTCACATTAGGTACTGTGTAGCATTTTAAAACTTATATGGACGCCACACATCAAAGAGACTAACATAAACAACTTGGTGTAACTGATTTTTGGTGTTTTTTTTTTATATTTTCAGTATCACACAAACTATCAAATAAATTATATATCATTTTTTACCTTTCAGTCGCAAGCTTATCTTTCTTAAAATTAAAATTGAAGAATTTACGGAAAATATTATATATTATTCGCACCTTCGTTTTTATAATAAATAAATGCCAATGTTAACAAAATTTTCAAATATATGCATGGATGAGTCTAGTTTTTCCTGAATTTTTCATTCTCATGGAACGATTTTTTAATTTCGCTATTCACAACTGTAGGCGAACCATTCGTTTCCAATTTAAAGGCTATATGCAATTCCAAGTAATCTTTGTGAAGTGACTTGAACAAAAAGAATTCAATTTCGAAAGAATTCACCACCAAATCGCTTTGTTTCTAGAATGACATTTAAGCACTCTGAGCAATATTTCAAATCAAACGAAATTCAATTTTATATGAAGCAGTAAATAATATGGCGCGTGTCTATTCGAAATGGATAAAAGATGGTTTTAATTTTGCGACTTCTAAACGGCTTCTTTCTCTCTTTTTTGGTTCGAAGCGAAAATAGTTGTTTTGAATATTACGACCATGTTATCAAATGTTTAACCTGACAAAGAATTATTATATTGGCCAGAGCAGATGTAAAATATCTAGGCTTTAAAAAGTTTCGATTCATAAAAGAATTTTCCCGAGAGTAATGTCTTCAGGACCTAAGTGCAGGAGAAAGGACACATATTTGATACATAAAGATTTTTGTTCAGGTGAAAAGTTGTCAGTTAAGTTCTTTTTTCGCCCTTTTTTTATCATTGTTGGTTCGTTAGTATTTTTAGAGCTTTGTTCTTAATAAAATCGATCATTAAATATTTGCTTCAAAAGATTGGATTTATTTTACAAGAAATACATTATTTTACAAAAATGTCAGGTGAAGTAAAAATAGATTTGAACAGAATCCATTGGTTCTAAAGATTTGTCGATATTCGAAATATTCACTTCGTTTTGTCAAATAGGAGCCAGAAGACTATGTGGGTCATTTTAAAAAAAAAATATAATCAGAGCATAGTTGTTTATCTTGAAAAAAACATTCAAAACGCTGATATATAAAACTGGTATCAGTGATCAATACGCAACTATCTTGGCCACGAGTTAGTACTGAGATCTTTGCCAAGTTCAGCTTAGTCTGACACAGCGCCATATTAGCAGCGCACAAAGTGAGAATTGAAACAATTCGGTCATGACCAGCGTTCCTTATCGGATACCATTTGCCAGTCTTTTTTTTTCTTCTTTTAAAGAAAACGCTTTTAAAGTATTGCCAAAAATGCCGGGATATTTTAGGGTGAGTTTAGACACAAGTCTTACGAAGAAATACAGGTAATCAAAGACTGAATGGCTTAACGAAAGGTGCGGAGAATTAGAAAGAATGAACTTTATAGACACAGCAGGTGGGCATAAAAGAATAAAATAAATAGCAGGACAAAAGATTTGCTCATCGACTGGATACATAAAATTTAAAGCGGTAACGATCTCAATAGTGAAAGAAGAACACTACACGGACTCAATATATTGGAGAATTATTCCATGACTCAATAGGGAAACCTGCAATATACAAAGCATTAAAGGTCATGACATACACTGGAATAAAAATGAACTTGTCATAGAGGAATACTCATCAGAAGAATTAATATTTATAGGAAACTTCAAAGAAAATTATGTTACGGCGTTGGGAAAATGTCTGAAGCCAAGATTCTAGGTCAGGGTCAATAATATTGCAGAATCCTCTTTGGATTTTATCAAGAATCTCTTTTTTATTACAACTGAACCCTTTATTTCGCTCACTGGGGTACACTGTTCTAGTTCCACGTGCCATGTTTAAATGGATGCCAGTTATCAGTTATCTCCTGTTAATTCCCCTGTGAAATTTCTGCACTCCCTTAACCGGGTATTGAACTGTCACTGTCCTGTCACTTGATCTAACTAACGCTTTTATCCACTGTGCCATGTGTCCTTGAGTCTACCCCAGTGAGCGAAATAAAGGGTTCAGTTCGACATTCCAAGCACCTGAAGAAGGCCGGAGCGTACAAAGGCCGAAACGTTGTAATAAATATGGCGACAAAGATGAGGACAATAGTCCGAATAATGTAAATAATGTACATAAACAGAATCTGGGAGTTTTAAGGAAAATGGAAATAAAAAAAAGTTAGAAACACAAAGAAACAGTTGAAATATCTAGGATGCATTATAAGGAATGAGGGCTTGGTGAATTTAACACTCACAGGACATATTGAAGGCAAGAGAGACAGCAAAATGCAACGAGCAACCTACCTAACGCGTTTTGTCGAATAGCGGAATATGGCCCGGAAGGGTATAATAAACAGATAAAAATTGTTAAGAGCTTCGAAGTTGTGGAGAGCGATGATCGACTACGGTCTTTAAAATTTCATTTGAACAAAACCCCCAGATATCATGCCGAATCAAATTGAGAAAAAGGACTTGAATATATTTATAGTTATTTCAAAAATATTTGTACATAGCATATTTCCTTCTTTACAAGTACACATCAATTCCTTGGCGTAATTAGAATCGTGACATTTGCGGTATCGGACTTAAAGAGTTTTAAAATCAAATTTTGAAGAGGCAAGTTCGTATTATGTCGTACTAAAACAATTGTTTTTTTTTAAATCAAGAAAAAAAGAAACAAGAAAACAATTTTTCATTGCTTCATAAACAGACCGATCTAAAAAAAATGACCTAAAATCTGTTGTTAACAGGAATAAGGAATGGCTTCTTCATTTTAACATCCGCCAAAACGAAACCGCTCTCTTTTAATTGTCTGAGAGAGAACCATTTTTTTTTGCCTTCCATCAGTATGGCTGATTCTAACCTCCAGGTAAGTTACTCCTTGTGCTTTCTCGGGCTAACGTTTTCTGCTGACAGGAAAGGTTTATATTTGTTTCTGATGCTGTGAAATTTGGTTCACAGTATCGTTCTATGCAATTTCTTTCGCCAGGACGCATCTTACACATTTATAACTCTACCATTCATTCATGCATTGAATATTGCTGCCAAATATGGTCTAGTGCTTCTGCTATATAATTTGAGATTCTCGATAAAATCCTAAGAGGATTCTGCAATGTTTTTGGCCCTGACCTGGTATCTCGGCTTCACACACTTTCCTACCGCCGTAACATAGCTTCCTTTGACCTTTCCTCTAAATATAAATTCTTCTGATGAGTTTCTCTCTATGGTAACTTCATCTTCATGAACTTAAGTACAGTACGAGATCTGTGGAAAGTCTCATCATTTTACACTTGAAATGGCTAGATGTAACCGTAAGTTCTATGCTAAAGGTTTCGTCTCTCGCACTTCTCGCTTGTGAAACTTTCTTCTGACTTCTTGCTTTCCATTCAACTTTAATCTTCAAAAAAAATGCAATGTCAATCGTTATCTTCCGTTTTCTTAATTCCAGTTCTTCTATTAATCTCTCTGCTGTTTTCTTTTTCTCATATTCTTTCAAACTCAGTAACTTGCATCTTGGGTGAGATGATTAACAAAAACCAAAGCTACTTCCTTATGATATCAATGAAAACAGAAACGTTTTCGACTTCAAAGGTTTGGAGTTTAAGTGAATTAAAAGATACAATCGCAAACATCTATAAGAATTACTGATTGGCATTTACGCCATTTGGGTTCTATTATGGGAATTTAGTTCACTAAAAAAGCACTTTGTGAGGCTAGCTTACCAAGTTATGTATCATGGCAATAAAATCGACTGACGTATATTTGAATCCTCAACTCGCTCTTCGTTTAATCTCGTCCATCTCATCCGATTTTTTTTATTAAATCTATCATTTAATCGGTAACCACGTTTCGAATACTACTTTAAGCTTGAAAGTAAGATCCGATCCTGAGTTGTATTCCAAATTCACTTAATGTTTGTTTGTTCATCTGAAGTTTAAAGAATAGTTTTGTGATGGGATACTACGTATATATAGCTGGACACTTGTGTCCGTAGGGCGCATTTGTGTTTATTCAATACAGCCACCTGAGCAGACCTTAGTTACAGTTTCTGGGAAAGAGCGTGTTATCTAGCGTGATCAAAAATTTGAACAAGGCCAGCACGCTCAATCCCTCGGCCACGATGACTTGTGACTTCGTCTACCCAATTTCCTTCACAAACCTTGGGTCAACTCGTGGTATGGTTTTCAGACACTTTCCAAAGTTACCGCACGTTGGTATCGACTCTGCTAGTCCGGTAACATCTGGAAGTCTCCTTCCTGAGAAATCGAACCCGCGTCTCATGGTCAGAATGCAAACGTTCTAACCACTCGACCACGAACTATTAATGACGATGATATTTATTGTAAGTAATGTATTTAAGGAACACTAGACACAAGTTTAAACGTCTACAGTGCTTATCACCCACTCGTAACTTAACGAATAGATTCTATTCCTTCAATTGCTTAATAGAATGAATGCTTGTATCTAAATATAATAACGAAAGGGTGGACCTGGGAACACCAGCAATTAAAAGGTGGTTCCACGCTCCTCAAAACCTCCTGATCAGAAACCTTGCTGCTGGACGTAGTTTAACGTCTTACCCAGGACGCGGATGTAGTTTATCGTCATAACCAAGACACCAAAAATTAGGAAAACTTTTCTAAATTCATTCATTTGATGTTCGCTTTGATTTTTTTCTTTCATATTCATCCAATTTGTGCTTTTGACAAAATTATTTCAAATAAAAACTGCCTACTATATTTGACGCTATATAAGGCGCACTTTATTTTAATAAAAATATCTTTTAAATTTCCTCTGCGTCTTATACGCCATATGTTGTTTAAAATTCGCCATAGACAGGCGGTATTAGCTACCTGGCAACTCCTATTAGCTTAGATTTAAACATGAAGGAGCAATAGAACACGTGGATAGGAATGCCTGATCAGAACTTTACACTTACAAGAAGAATTAAAAAGACCCAGTATTGTACAAATCTGTGAATGGGTGAAGCAAGCTTGGGATAATATTAGACAAAAAATTGTGTTATCTTTTAAAAAGTGTGGCACCGGAAATGCTCTCAATGGAACGAAAGATAAATTATTTACCGACGATGATAGTAGTTTTGAAAATGAGTATCAGAATTTTGATAACGAAGACGGTAAATTTTATACCAGCTATACGTTTTCAAAAAAAAAAAAAAAAGAAATTACTAACTATACGTTTTTGAAAAAATATTATCAGCTATACGTTTTTGAAAAAATATTACCAGCTATACATTTTTGGGGAAAAAATATTAACAGAAATAGATTTTTGACAAAGCAAAAATATTACCAGGAAATGAAAAGCTGTCGGCATTAAATGGCCCATTGAGGTTGATATGCCGTAAAACAAAACAAACAAATATCTCATAAATATAACTTAGGCTGTAACATTTAGCAATATTTTTTACTAATTTTACTAATTACTAATTTTTCTTGATTTTCCTTGCTGAAATTGGGGTGCGTCCTTATACAGCTATGCGTCTTATATGCCGTCAAATACGGTAAATATTGGGATTATTTCATAAACAGAAAATGCAAAAAAAAAAAAAAAAGTTTAAATTTGTGTTGCCAAAGTTACACAGATTAAAAGACGGGGAAATACACCGAATTACACCTTTAAAGTGACCGGTGAGGGACGTAATATAATTCTCCCCTAAAATATCAAAGAGATCAAAGTTTGAATTATTCTTGATTTATTTATTTTTTAAATTTCCATTCATTTTAATTGTAGGAATATGTTAATTTTATAGCCCTTAAGGGGAGGAAACGAAAAGGGAACTAAAAATACAATGGACCGGAAGTGACTGACCAAAAGAGATACAATGCTACTCACCGCGATCAGATCTAAAACAGTAGCACGTAGTGTAACAAAAGTGGAATCAAAAGATCCGTTATCACAACAGCGTGACAAAGATGACCCGCAAAGCTTATATATAGATAAGCTATTAGAAGCTCGTGAACAGTCGAACAGATAAGCTGAATAGCGAGTAGGCTCTTAAATGAGATGCAAGTTCTAACAACTTCTGCTGCCACAGCAGAAGTTGTTAGAACCTGCATCTCATCTTGTACCACCTGAAAATAGTTCAGACGACCACAACCTCGCACCTTTTAATAACCAGAGGTGCAATACACAATTGTCTTCAAAAAGAAATGTCTGGTAACGCGGGAATTTTTTTAACCTAGGGCAAATTATAGCAACAGGTTATTATGAAACTATCAAGGTGAAATCTATTTCTACAGTTTATTGTTAAGATATTTTCAGAAATGTCTAACTGATGGAAAAATTGGATGACTTATGTAAAATTAATTTTTCAAAAATAGACGTAAAGCTTTGAAATAAAAGAGAAAAACAACTCATTTAAATTCTTTAAAAATACAAAAAAAAGTGGAAGTGTATCAAATGTTAGCAGAGCGTTTGTAGATGCCTCGATTAGCATAATGCAGCCATTTTTGTTTTTATGGGGGACTCATCGAGTTTACCTATTCACTCGTAGGACTATATTTAGATCTGCTCACGCACTATTATTAGTCATAGAAACAGTGAGTATAAAATATCTGTTATTATAAATATATGACTGTAAAAATTTTTAGCAAAAATGTCATTATATTTCACAAAAGATGGCTGGAAAAGAGTCTTAGAGATTAGAGCCGATAATGGCGTTACAATTTGGATACTACTTATGCTGAACAAGCATTCCTATTTCATCTTTACTGCAGTACAACTTTTTACCAAAATTACATTTGTGAAGTTTTTTTTTTTAAACAATGAAGAACTTATCTAACTTGATAAAAAATGCAATTATCTAAATGAAAACGCTAGTCACAAACGAACGGGACTGACATTTCAAAGATTTGATTATTTGGTAAATTCGTTCATGTAACCATTGCCTGTTTTTAACAAAGCGTAGTGAAAAAGATAAAATACGTTTATGTCTTTATAAGTCTTTAGGAGAAAATACGTTACCGATAAGTATGTTGACAACTGCACACTATTAAATATGTCCGTCCTTTATTGGGAAACTGAAAACAAAACGTCTACAAATATTTCTTTAAGCAGATGTAAGAAAAACATTTGACTGAAAAGCCTGGGTACAGATAGATAGTTGATTTCAAGAGTAATGCCTTATGTACAGTTGCTAACATAAAAATGCTTTGCACCTAAAATGCAGAGGAACTAAAAAATAAATAAATGATAAGCGTATGTATAAAATAATGTTTTCTTGATGAAAACTTGCTCTACCAAACTGTTTTCTTCACCTCACTCTATTTATTAACATTCTCCATTGAAATAAATAGGAGGCATTACTTAAGGAGCGATTCTTGTACATCCGTGTTTTCGTGTGTGCCTTTATATGCGTACGTGTGTATGTATGTGCGCGTGTGTTGGTAACTCAACCGTGACTGCTTCTATGATATTATTGTTGATTTTCTTGATGCTGATGACGTCTCTGGTGACTCAACAGAGTGAGCGACATTTTAAGCCACAGGTTTTGCAAACAAGCTTACGTTTGGCCGTACTGGTATCAGAGTGCTGCCAACTTGTAATGTTGGCTAAATCCAAATCCTGACAAATGGACGGAACGATTGCAGAACGGTTCGGCAATGAAAATCCAGAGCCAATTTTCGCTTGAAAATGAAACAGAACTAGGGACTTTAATTTGATGCTATAATTGAATTTGAAGTTTTTAGCTTCTGTTTTTGAAACATGTTAATTTCTGTGTAGCGATGCAATCATATTTTTAATTAGTAAATTTATAATATTTATGTTCTTAGCACTGTTTTGTAAAAATAAAAATATTAATAAGAACACCGACTTATATATCTTATTGTTCTTTTTCTTTATTATATATATATATATATATATATATATGTGTGTGTGTGTGTGCGCGTGTGTGCGTGTATGTGCATATATATATATTTATATTTATATAATTATACATATAATTTATATATATATATATATATATATATATATATATATATATAAGAAATAAAGTCTTAAGATGTGCTATATTTATAGGATAAAGTGATCAATATCAGAGATAGAGCGTGTGTAAATATAAAAAAGTGAACATAGAAGTCAACACTTAGAGGCGACAGTCTGTTTCATGCTGACGATTGCATCTAGCATGAAACAGTCTGTCGCCTGTAAGTTTTGACTTCTATGTTCACGTTTGTATATATATATATATATATATATATATATATATATATATATATATGTCTATCACAACTCGACCCTTAATTAAAATTTGCACTTTTCCCAAGGAAAGAAGACCGTTATGGTCATGTAATCATACTTATTTCAAGGAACACAGAGCTTTTCATTCCAATTTTAAACAGATCCACACTTTTTCCCCTACGCTGCGTATTATCCACATTCCCTTATTTTCCCCCCTCTCTTTCAATGAATTGTATCTCCTTTTTCACCAACTTTTCATTTATATCTTTTCTTTCTTTTCTTCTTCTCTTTTCATTTCCTTATCATTCTTTCACCATTCTGTCCACACTGTAAATCTATTTTGCTTGACGTACAGGATCTAGAGACCTAATGTGTCGTGCGATAAGCAGGCCCCATTTGTCACATAGAAAAAAACAAAAATACACACATATATCTATTTAGCTACGATAATCGTATTTTTGGGTAGCAATCCTTCTTTTATACAAGTTTCGTTAAAGACGAGTGACAACAAGGTACAGCGATTAAGCATTTTATTTAGTTTTTCTTGTGTTTTTGCAAGTGCTTTCTTTTCTAAGGTCTGCTCAGCATAGTTGCAGTATAAACCACTGGTTGGTTCAGTGGGTGTTGAACAAATACAAACGTGCATGAGCGAGTGTGTGCAATAGGGATTGGCTAGAATCCCTAGTAGCCGGATATCCTCGAATACGAATGGTCAGCTATTATATATATATATATATATATATATATATATATATATATATATATTATACACGGTCACATTAGAACATGTAAGTATCCACTACATTCTACATTTCGTTTCAAAGTTTAAAATAAAACGTTTCTTGCGGTGGTTAACGATGATAGCAATAAACAATTTAAAATTGCAATTAATGAAACATCACTACATTTTCCTTTTATTTTCATTTATTGATCCCCAATCTTATTCTTCGTTCATTTACATTTTGGATTATATATATATATATATATATATATATATATATATATATATATATATATATTGAAGTCAACATTCAGAGGTGACAGGCTGATTCATGCTAGACGCAATCGTCAGGCACCTTTATATTTACATACGCTCTATCTCTGATATTGAGAACTTTATCCCTTAAATATATCACACACTTTAAAACTATATTTCTTCATATATATATATATATATATATATATATATATATATATATATATTCAAACACATAAGTTGATATATATATATATATATATATATATATATATATATATATATATTCAAACACATAAGTATATTCACATAAGTAGATATATATATATATATATATATATATATATATATATATTCAAACACATAGTATATATATAAGTATATATATATATATATATATATAAACACATAAGTAGATATTCATTTTAGTGGACAAACATTTCGGAAAAGATTTCATGTTTGTTATAAAATATTCAGATGAACATCAGCGCCCACGAAGTGTGACATGTACTTTCTCTGGTAATGTAGAGAAGAACTGGAAATTTCTGAGCAAAACCACGTGATTGTTCAGTATATTTTTACGTCGGTTAAGTAGAGCACGAAATGAACGTCACCTTTTTAGGCAGGAGCGTGTGTGTAATATGTCTGCCGCCTCTTATGTAGTTATACCAGACAATAAATTTGTCTGAATTCGAATCAAACTTCCAATTCGATCTTTCAGCAAAACAGTAGAATGTATGCTGTAGACTAAGTTTCAAATATTACGTTAAAGCTTAAAACCTATAGCTTACATTCAGTTTTGTATCGAAAGAAAGATCTTGTAAAATTGTCTTCTTTGGCATCTGGAGTCCATTCTTTCTTGATCGACTACTGAGAACGGAAAGCGAAAATTCTACTCTTGGAACTAACATCCTTTTTTTTTCTTAGACTATTGCTTCAAGACTTGTAATTAACTAGGATCAAATGGCGTTACTTAAAATGAAAACAAAACTGAAAGAAGACAAGCCTTTTTCTGAGGATTTCATTTGCTAACAAGTTTTGTATTTCTTTTCCAAAATGGTTTGGCCAAAGTGCCTCACAAAAAAATTAAAAATGTTTGCCATTTCATTATATTGTTTAAAAAACATAGGAAACGATTTTTGAGGTTCTTAGAAAACTTAGAGAAACGCTGTGCTTCTAAAATTTAATCTTGTTTAGTAAGGATGCTTGTCATCACTTGAACATGAATATGTGCGATGTTTTGAAAATATCTCATATATTTATGCTCTTCATTTAATTTTAGAGTAACGTTTTTGTCAAGATCAAACCAAGGGCTATTATAGTTGCATAATCTTATATTATTTGTTAATCTTAAACTTAATTACAGCGTAAACTTAAAAGCGAATGAATAACGTTACCGATATCAATAATGAGTTGCGGTAGAATTCTACTGCTAATTATAGATCATATTACTTGTAAGTGAAAATCTAAGGCACTACCTCTTTCATCGATAATTAAATCAATGTTGTGTTAATAACACGATTAATTATCTATTTGTTTAATTTCATTTTTATTGTAAGAAAAAATTGAAAAAAGGACAATGAAAGTAGGAAAACAAAAAAAGTAAACAAAATCGATTTTATAGAAAGAGAAGAATTTTTTCAAAGTTTCTGTCTACATCTATAAATAAATTCAATACGACGAAAAGTGTGAGACTGACATCCCAAGGCGCAATGGGATAAGATGACTTCCAAAATCTAAGCAAAGCATTAAGATATAAAAAAAATCGTTAAAACAGAAAAGTGTGCAAAAATGTTATGCAATATCAGTTCTCCTATTTAGCAGTAAATGCTAGACAATATCATGACAGATGAAGAAGTGACTTAAAGTAAGGGAAACAGAGAAAAGAGTACTGAACACTTACGTAATATCAGTTCTCCTATTTGGCAGTGAATGCTAGACAGTATCCTCACAGATGAAGAAGTGACTTAAAGTAAGGGAAACAAAGAGTACTGAGACTCAAAGTAAGAGAAATTAAGAAAAGAGTACTGAACTCTTACGTAATATCAGTTCTCCTATTTGGCAGTGAATGCTAGACAATCTCCTCACAGAAGAAGAAGAGACTTGAAGCAGATGCAAATGTAGCAAAAGTAAATGTCGTTCTACAAAAGGATATTGAAAATACCATAAACTGAACATGTGATCAACGATAAAGTTTTACAGAAAATGGAGAGAAAAAGGACACTTATACTTAACATCAGGAAAGGGCAGTTGAAATTTCTAAGGCACATAACGAAGAAAGACGGCTAGAAAAAAAAAATATATATATATTGGTAAATTTTAGAAATAACTTTACAAGAATTTAATATTCTGGGCGTATTTGCCATCAACTATAACTAAATTTTATCATTGCAAATATTTTAATGTCTGTCTATATCTCTGAGATGAAGTATTATGACTATTTAAGACATTTTTAGGTTTATACATATCTGTCCAAAGCGTGTCCAAATGTAAACAAATGACGTTACACATTATGAAATGGACAAAGTCAGGTAATAATTTTAAGATATTTTTTTTTATAGATAGTAAATATTTAAGTAAATGCTCTGTTTATAATTAACAGTATTAAACAACATTTACCGGCCTGAATGTCCGAGAAATTTTCACAGAAAATATTCGTCCTCCGACAGGATTCGAACCTGTATCCTATACGGAACCGTCTTTTAGCTTGACGTGCCTTAACCGATTTGGCCACAGAGCAGAGTTCGGTTAGCAAGGTCGAATTTACTGTCTTTAAACTTCAATATGAAGATATGGATGTACGTGAGAGATTCATGAAAGATTGAAGTTTAAAGACAGTAAATTCGACCTTGCTAACCGAACGCTCCTTAAATAATTGTCAGACTTTGTCCATTTCATAATGTATTTAGACTGTATACATTATTTACATTATTTGAACTCTTATCCTCATCTTCATTGCCATATTCACAACATTTCTTATAATAAGAAACATATAAAAACGAATTTTTTTCGTTTTGCAATATTTACTTAGTGATTAATTTGGACAATAGAATTTATTTTTTAGATATATTCCAGTTGATCTAGTTTTCATATGGCAAATATCATATATAGTAACCTTTAAAACCTTTAAAATTGACCTTATATTTTTTAGAAGAGTATGATGTAATTTGACTCTATTACTATTTCAATGATTGGTCTATCCAACAACATGTTCTTGAACAGCTCCCTATTTTTATAAGATACAAAACAGAAAAAATGTTTTGCACTTCATAGCTTACAATTTTACTGTCTTTATTTTCGGGCTAATAAGTATCTTGAAAAAAAATAATCGACTGAAGTTACAAATGTCATGTTTCTTCTCTTTTTCTTTCGTACCATTTGATTCCTGTCATTCAGTTACAATAATTATCTACAAAAGTAATTGGTAAGGCAAAATCATAATTTGAAGGCATAGAGAGAGTGTAAATAAACTGTCACTAAAATAATAATTGTAATAATTATTCATCAAAGATATATATATTAAGGATACAAACAACCATTTGAATAAACAACTTCTGCCCAATATCTGATGAAATTTTAAAAGCATCAATGTCATTATAATTGAAATCAACTAAAAAGAAAGATCAACTGAAAATCGACTAAAATGAAAGATCCACTTAAAATCAGCTAAAAAGAGACACGGTGCAAAGGAAAATAACTATGTATGTTCCAATATAATTCCCGAATACTGTCTTTATAGATTGAATATTGAAAATTTCGAAAAATGTTTGGCTGCCATGCCAAACATTGTCTGTTGTTCCGTAGTAGATGGCACAACGTCCCACAAGATTTTATTGATTTACACCGAAAACTTTTGGAGATGGTGTGTTTATCTTAATAGATTTTTGTTGTTTTTGGTAATGAATAGAAAAATGAAAATGTAATGAAGCTGAAATCGAAACTATAAAAAAAGGCATTGTCTTTTACTTGTTTTTTTTCTAGTCAGTTAGAACTTAATGACAATTATCTTGAGAAAAAACACAGGTATGTTAAAATAATAGATGAAAAGATAGAATTCATAGTCTTACAAAAGCAAATGATTTCTTCGTCCTTGACGCAAACGACAACGTTGATCCTTACAGGGAGAAATTACAATTTGCAAAGATAGACGACCGGACTATTTCCATAATGTTTACTACTAACTGTCCATTTATTTGTTCATTTAATAAAAACTGACTGAAATATAAGGAAATGGCGCCTTTTTGCTTTTCCTTTTATTTCATCAATTCTTGATTTTTTGAAAAGTTTTGAATGAACTCTTTCACTATAGCCTTTTTCCAAATCATAGTTAATCTTTTAAGAGAACGCACACCTATTCGTCTGTTTATTCCATT